GTGCATCTCAGCTTGAAGCACTTAATATGGCTTTCACTGTTTCTCATTTGACAGATTTAACTCATTTATTGACAAAGTGGGCGAATCCAGTTAGTCAGTCGATACAAATTGATTATAAAGATTATTAGTTAGGCGAGGAAATGATGGAAGAACTGGAGCCTGATTTGTTAGATTTTGGTTCATCCATTAAATTTCCACAAATCAAGTCAAGAAAGCACTGCGTTCGTTCATTATGGACAGAATTTATCGCGTTAGCTTTGGTGCACTTAGTGATATAATACTCTGCAAAGAGCTAATGGTGCTGAAGAGCCAGAAAGCGGAACGGAAGTTGAAACTTCAGCGTGTATTAAACGAGACGAATTCTCAGTCGATTTGTTCAGTGATCCAATTAGGAGAGATCGAGGAGTTTACCATGCTGTCTTTACCTTTCTGTGTTCACTCAGTTTCGGATAGTGATTTTTTGTTGACCAGTTCTCACTCTCGACAAGTGTGCATCTCTGTGGAAAATCTTAGCATTTGTTGTGTCAGTACAAGTAGTTTTGGTATCTATGATCCAGCAAATTCTTGGAATTGTATTCAGTTTTTTCTATTGATAATGATAACCTTATGATGGATCTCCGTTGGTAATGCACTAGAGTCCATGGGTCACGATTATAACAAGGCGTGCACTCCAAAATGGGTTATAGAATTCTTTGTTGCCAGAATGACGCAGTGTAACAACACTACCGTCATCCTACACTCCTTTTCCATCTTAGTTGTCAGTTATGGCTGAAACACAGTCATTAGTGTTATCTTACCTCATAATCAGATTGCTGAGAAAAAATCAGCGAAGTGGTTCACTTCTAAAATAGGTGCATAGTTCACGTTCCAACTGAATGGACAACTTATTCTAAATACGAGTTACCGTAATGGGCCTCAATTTGAAATGCTTCTCGAGACAAGTCTGATTGAACACCATTCTGGTTGATCAGTGATTCTACCATTGCGATCTGTCTTGTTTGTTCAGTGAATGGTGCTCATTGCTTGAAAAGTGCATGGATTTCCACATCTTGCCCTCATTCTGATCAAGCGATCATTATCGTGCAATCATCTCTTTTCGTGAACGTAACATATTTGTGAATGGTAGCTTTCTGGTTCACGTAGGTGTTATCCATTTTATCGCTGTTCGTATATCCTATTCATGTTTTCTATTTTTTTCCAATACCATCGCGGCTCTTCGGTGTGTTGAATAATGCCCTGTTACTGTGTGAAACGCTTGATGATCACAGGGTTTTATTTTCTTTCAAATCTCCGCAGTGATTTAATTGGACCAGAAGCGTCGTAATCTATTGCCGAGATAAGGTGATTAAAAAAAAACTTTTGGTAGGTGTATCATCTCTATGGTTTGTATTACGCCTTTAATTGTTCCTTGCCCTTACACCTATAAACTGTTACATGACTTCAGGTCTATCGGTACACGGCCAAACCGTTGGTTGAGTGCATTTTCGATCGTGGTATGGCCACATGTTTTGCCTATGGTCAAACCGGATCTGGAAAAACGCACACAATGGGCGGCGAGTTCCACGCACGTGGGCAGCAAAACTGTACGAATGGAATTTACGCACTAGCAGGTACGCATATCCGTTCAATTGTTTCCCTTCCATCATTTTTACCGTATTCCTTTTTGCTATGAATATTTTAAAGTAGTAAAGTTCCCGGTTTTACCAAATGTATGCTGTTGTTCCTTGGTGTGTAGTCGCATTCACTCGTACGGTTATTGTTTTTACTTTACTTTACTTTACGGCGGCTGGCTCCTGGGAGAGGATAAGCCGGCTTCATGGATATCTCGAATTGCCGCTGCCCACGCTCGGCGATCTGCGGCAAGATCAGCGCATATTGTGATCCAGTTTGACTTCCATTGGCGTAGACGAAGCGAAGGCCAAGGTTTTCGGTATCCTTTCGCACCGTGTCGAGCCAGACATCGCCAGTTCGGGCAGGGAGGCGGTGCCAGGACAGCTTTCGTCAGGTCGTTATCAGGCTTGCGAAGAATGTGGCCAAATCATTACAGTCGTCGGCATTGTATTAGCGTCCTCAGCCGTACAAGATTAAAACACCGATTTCCGACCGCTTCATTTGAGAGTGATCCCTTCATCGAACTCCCAGAATGATTCTTAAGCACCAGTGATCGAAGACTTCTAATCTGCGACAGTCTTCGACTCTGCGTGGCCAGGTTTCGCAGCCGTATTGCAA